ACCGGCCTGGGCGCCCCTGGGTGGCTTACACACACCCAGCACTCGCAGCCCCTTCGCTCACTGGCGGAACTCAGTTCGTTCAGGTGCTTTGAGTTAGTAGGGCTCCCACTTGGGTTCCCTCTTTAGGTAGGGTTCCCGTGTGCTTCCTGTCGTGCTTTTTATATGAAATGAAGCTAGTGGAATTGGTATTGTTAACCTTCATTCGTGTAGTTTCAATTTGTTGTTGGGTGTTCACTGGTTCAGGCTCTTTTTGTAATATACAAACATACCTCGGAGATATTCTGAGTTTGGTTCCAGATCACCCTAAAAAAAGCGAGTATTGCAATGTAGCGAGTGGTAATCTTGTTGGAGGGTCTTTCTTGCCTTCAGTTTGTTTAAAAAAACAAAAAAGCAACCCTTGTGAAGCACAAAAAAGCAAAGCACAATGAAACGAGGTTTGTAACTTGAAGATTTTAATAATCCAAATATCAAGTATTGAGATGAACAGATCACGACAGTAATCTTATTTATGCATTTATTTGTTAATCCTTTGTTAGTGGCATGAGATAGATATAGATATAGAAATATAGTTTAAAAATCCACCCTGTTGGTTGGATTCTGGGGCTCGTATATAATGAATGAGTGTAAAGGTGGATGCCAAAGGTTGGGAGAGGGAAACAAGAACAGTTATCTATAGGTCATGAAGTTCTCCAATTATCTCCTATCAATTATCTCTAACATCCTTGAGACATGGTTTTCTAGTCTCCAAACTTGTCCCTAATGTTCAACCTGTTGATTATTGGACAGCTCCTTTTAAACTGAAATCCACTTTAATTTGCGCACACCGGCTGTGTTCCACCCTCTTGGCACATAATAGATTATAAATATTTCCGATGCAGAGAACTAAGCTCAAGGGGTGGAGGCCAGATTGAAAACAGAATTCTGTTGATAGAATTTGCTTGATAATCTTTATGCTTGTAAAATAGTCTACCTGGAAGAGACTTCTAAAAAGAAACCTTTATATGTTTGTTCCTTTTTTTTTCTTATTACAAAACCCAAAGCTTTTACCCAAAGATTTACTGTCTAATCATATTGTCTGCCTTGAAGAAGAGTAAATTCATGATGATCTTGAGCAGTAAAGATTCTTCTAAAACAATGTTTTGCTGAATTGTAGTCCCATTATGCTGAGTTATTTTGAATTAATTCTATTAATTGTGAGACACTCTTCTGAATGTTGTGTAGAGTAGCGATCAGACATGGCCCTTTTCCTTGAGAACTCAAGTGCAGGTATTCAGTGTTCTCATCTTAGAATCTTTGCATGTTCTGTTCTCTTTATTCCTGAAGCGTTCTCCCTTCAGCGTCCTTATCATTCAAGGTTTAGCGC